AATTAACAAACGGAGACGTAACAATATTTTTTAAGACCCAAATACAGCTTAGTTACTACTTTTGATAAATTATAGTAGAATTGATTAATTTGGATCTCTATTTCGAATGAGTAGATCTTTAAAGAGTAGTACTAAATTTTTTCTTCAGTTTCATGAATTCTTGTTCACAATCAACAGTCCAATAAAACTGATTTGGTTTTTAAATTAACTTGTGTAGAGGGCGAGCAAATCCAGAGAATGATTTTACAAAATAAATGATAATAACAGCACATTCTGAGAAATTTTCTTATCTTATGTAGGTTATTTGGTGTTAGCAAATTCTGGACAGATTCAACATTAAATGAATATGTAAACATTTTCTCTCTGTTAATTATGTGTCCCAGGAAACTCACCTGTTGACAGAACAATTTACCTTTCTTGGAATTCAGCTTAAGGTTCTCTTTACTCAATTTATTCAGAACTTAGCCAATCTTAAGATTTATCAATGATCTTCCCTTGTGCAATTATTTCATCTAACTAGATGACTGCAACGTTCTAGGGTAGTTTAGACAAATCGCATTCTATTAATTGTTGAGATGTTGCATTTTGATCCAGATAAATAATCGAAGGTAGAGCCAGTGGGTAGGCATCTTTCTTTGTGACTTCATTCACCTTACAGGTAGTCTACGCAGAACTTTGAGGATCCATCTTTCTTCTTCACAAGTTTGATGGATAATGGTATTGGTCAGCTGTAAGACCTCCACAGATCCAGCCATATATCTCCTGTAATTAAGGTGGTATACTGTTTTTACATGAGAATTTGACATTATATTTCCTACAATACTTAACGAAGTTCACTTGAAACGCCTATTGTTTTGTGGACTATTTTCTCCATTCTATGTTACTAGTTGTCCAACTAGTACTTTCAGTTCTTCTAAATCAGTGGTGTGTAAAATATTTCATGACACGGTCTTTTCTAAACATATTTTGTTGCGCACCCACACCTCACAAACCTATTACAATAATGCCTCATTATAACACCATTGATTATAATGCTTTCTCGGATATAATGCTGTAATACTTTGGTTTCCAAAAATTTAGTGTCATCTGCCACGTGACTTCAGAAGGTAAAGTCATTACACACTGTCACAAAATGGAGAAAATAAACGGGAAGTCCCGAGTGCCAAGCCCAGAGACATGAATATTAAGTTCAGATGTTGGGAATGAAAGTAAGAAAGGAATTTGGAAATGTGATTCGATTGTCGAAATAGCAAGAAAGTGTCATCGATATAGCGTTTGTAAAGGACAGGTTTAAAGTCACATGGGCATTTTTCTTGCCACTTGCATTCATGGTGACATAGAAAACTATTGGCTATCGTTGAACCCAGCGAAGGTTCCACATATCTGGTCATAAATGACGTAATTAAAGAGGAAATGATTGAACTTATTGGTTATAACGCTCTCCCGATATTAGCATTATAATGAGGCAGTACCATAGTTCTGTAGGTGTCATTTTCCAGCGTTAATAGTTGTTACTATATTATTTTATAGTTGCAATATCTGTATGGTAGTTTTTAAAACTTCTTTATCTTTGAACTTTCAAATATTTTATGCACCTCAATAGTCATATTTGCACGTTTTTTTATAGACTATCTGAGTCCTCTTAAGGGTGTGTCCCACAGTTTGTGAAGCACAGTTCTAAAATATCATTAGAGGCATGATGTTTCAGTACTACTTGATCTGATGATCATGTAGTTCGTAGATGATGTCTTTAATTGTTTATTTGCGACTTAAGTAGATTCAAGTTCCAATGAAACTGGAGAACTTCCTTTAAATATTTTCAACTACTTTGCCTCAGCCTAATTCTCATATTATCTTCTGTTATGGCATCTATAAATTGGTCAACTGCAAATGAACTCATCATTTTATGTGCAGTATATGTGTCAGTTTGGCTAACGTCTCTTCTTTCTTCCATATCTTGCTATGGACCTTTGATTTGGAAACTTCCTTCTGGTTTGTAACTCCAAACTTGTTGGATAAAGGCAGCAAACAATGATTGTTATGGCTCTCAGCTGAAATATTACTTAATGTTGTCAAAGCTGGATCTTTTAGGTGGGCAGCAAGGTGAATAGTTTGTTGTTCATTATTTCATCCATTCACCCTGGAAACTATTCTGAACTGAGCCTCATATGCTTTCCGTGATCCCTTTCTCCCACAGATCACTGGTTTCTCAATTTGGCAATGTTGTTGAACTGGCCTACAGTCACAAATGAAACATCAATAGAGGTAACAGGTACAGGCCAAATAGATTCGTATATTTTATATTTAATAGTGAACATAGTTTTAGGTTGGTAACTCTTGGATGGATGCAGAAAGAAGTGTGGCTGGCTTGATATTTGCATTTACCAATTCGTTTTTCTAGATATTTTATTTTGTCACTAATTTGTTTTTGTACTTCTTCAATTTTGTCATTACAGCCTTTCTGTTCTTATCGCATCTTGTTATTATAATTCCTCTTTACATCAGCAACAATTTCATCAATCTTGCCTTCAACCAGATTATTTTTGTTTTTAATACTTCTATCAATTATTACTTGTATTTCATTTAAATATTCACTTAAATTACTGTCTCTCTCTCCTTGATCAGCTTATCTGAGACTACCACAATAGATAAATGAGATATTTCAGAAACAATTCGAGAACTCTCAGTGGCAGTTATATGTGCAATCTTTTGGGGCCCGGCTTTGTAATGTGGTTAGGGCGCTCGACTCGCATTCTGAGGGCCGTGGGTTCGAATTCCCGTCTCACCAAACATGTTCGCCCATTCAGCCGTAGAGGCGTTATAATGTGACGGTCAATCCCACTATTCATTGGTAAAAGAGTAGCCCAAGAGTTGGCGGTGGGTGGTGATGACTGGCTGCCTTCCCTCTCGTCTTACACTGCTAAATTAGGGACGGCTAGCGCAGATAGCCACCGTGTAGCTTTGCGCGAAATTCAAAAACAAACCGTCTTTTGGTGCATTGGCAATGAGACCGAAAAAATTGTCCAATGAATTGAAAATAAACGGAATAATAATGTGTTGTGCTTTGGAAAAAAAAGAAGGAAAAGAATTTCTGTCAGAAGCTGAATTCCTAAATACTAAATATATTCAAATATAAACATTCTGAAATGTTTAACACCGGACACATTTAGGTGAATGTATTGAATAAACATAACTTGCATAGTAAATGTACATAAACTAACTTTTCTTTATCAACCAATAATTTCTGATTAAAACTGATCACCGCCAGATGATCCTGTCCCAGAATAATAAAGCTATTGACTATATCAATTCGAGTTGTTTAACAAGTTCGTAAACTGAAGTGGAGAAGGGGACATTTATCCACTCTAAAAGTGATCTGATAAGAGCCACTTCTTGCTGAGTAGAAAATCAAAGTTCATGATATTAGCGTCATTGACTTGCTTAAGTTAATCTTATTGTACAATAAGTAAGCAGCTATGCCCGTCAGGATCGTCAAGAACTGTATGTTGTTTGTGTTAAGTTTATCCTGGAAATTTTGGTGTGTAGTGCAGGCTCATCGACTGAGTTCACCTCCACATATAGTGTTCATAGTAGCAGATGATCTAGGTAAATAACTTACTTTCCTTCGTCTACTTAATGATGCAAAGTAAACGATTTAGTTTAAATAGTTTGTATGATAATAATTTACTTCTTATATCACGTGACGCTGTCACAGAAAAATACTGAAACACAGTTTGGACACACCTCTGCGTATAAAGTTACCCCAAAATTCCAAAATATTTTTATTCAAATTGTTTTATTTTATTCTATTTGTTTATTTATCTTACAGCACAAAGCTGCACAATCAGAGGCGTCGGAACCGGAAGTGCTGTAGCACCCTCACTTTTACATATTTGACGTATATAGCAACTGTAAATTATGTCATTGTATTAGTTTTCTGGAGTGGATTGAGCTGCTTTTAGCAGCAGTTTATAATTTCAATCTCTCATTGTCAAGTCTGCATGTCTTACAGCCTAGAAAACACATAAAACATTCACCAAGTAACTGAAAGAAATTTCTTTTTCAGCTTTGGGCACTGGTCAGGTAGATTATTCGGCGCCTGACCAGTGAAAGTGGGTTTTCTCGGGGTACTTCCGTTTCCCCCCACTGCAAAATTCTGAGAATTGGACCACGGTCCTCC